CCCCAAAACCCCAAAACCCCAAAACCCCAAAACCCCAAAACCCCAAAACCCCATAAATAACTTTCTTATAGAAATGATTATATTAAAGATTATAGAAATAAAATTGCAGTATGGAAAGACCAAGTAAGCCTGCTCTCTTCTAGTTATTAACCATTCAATAAGCGCTTACAGCCTAGGCACTAGTACCAAACATAATTTAAGCCTTATGATGTCTTGGTGATGAGGGAGAGAGGGATTATAGTCCGCACCACTAAAGCGGTTTCAGCAAAATCACCAAAGGCGATGCCACATATCTTTGTTTATTAGATCATAAATATTGGGAACAAAATGATAGAACCCAGAGCTTTGAACATGTCGTAGCTTAATGAGACCTTGATTAGGAAAATATTATTGAAGAATTTCTTCGAAAAGTGGATGAATTTTTCAGAAAAATCCCACAATAAAAATGTTCTTATTAAAGTTCCATTTATGTTCATCCAGTTATTAAAATCAGTTTCAGATTTTGGGTTGTTCTGGGTTACCATAGAAGTTCAGGTGGTTGTCCAGGAATATAATCTTTAATTTGTAAAATATTTTTATATCTATGCGATCAAAAGGGTTACAGAGTTTTGTAACCGTCATATATACAAATTTCTAGCTTTATTTGCTTTATGAGTAAAAATCAAGAAAATTCAATGAAATTCAGTTCTTAGGCCTTGAATAATTTCGATTTTAGGAACTGCATATAAAAGGATAGGAAGCCACAAATTTGATCACAAAGCAGCGAGGGCTCAACTCCAGTCAGCTTCAGGTAAAAGACCCAAAGATGTTGCCCCACTCCTTGATGAAGAAGACATGATCGATGAAAGAGAGATCAGAAGGGCCACCAACAGACTTAAGAGAAGAGACTACGAACACCTCGCTCAAGACGACGAGTACCAGCAAATGTTCAAGGATCCTCTAGACCGCTACGACGAAGTTATTGATGAAGCTCCCAGCCAGCTCGAAGATGATGGAACCAGGTAAGTTGTGGTCCTAAGTGTAGTATGGAGGACACTTCCAACGTTGAAGGCAGAGGTCTCTTGAGATCGGCTCGCGAGCAGATGGAGCATTCTCAGCAGAACTTGATGCCAATTGAAGAGGACAAAGTTGAAAACTCAGATATGTCTAATCAGGACGAAGATGGAATCAAGTTCATCAACCAGCAAGACACTATGAATAGACTTGACTCACAAGTGTCGGGTACATCGTCCCAAGTCAGAAGCAAACTTCTGGATGAACTCAAGCGTTCCAAAGGCAAAATCAACAGAGTGTTGTCAAGAAAAGAAAAGCAAATCCTCAAAGACATCACCCAGTATGACAAGAAGTTTACCAAAGATGCTGACGAAGACATCATGGAGGTCGGAAGAGTCGACCTTGAAGACCTCGAGACCGACTTTGGAATGATTGAAGAAGAACGAGACAGAAAGAAGAAACAGAGAGAACTCGAGTTCGAACACAGAAGAAAAGGTATTGAACTTACATCTGCAACTACTCAGAACAAACTGGTCAACGCCCACACTGACTTACTCAAAGAGATTGCTCAGGAAGAAGTCGACGCGCGCAAGAAAGCTGTCGAGAGAGAGAAAATCATTGACAAAGAGTTTGTCCGTATTGAAGACAGAGTGGGTGGAGTCATCAAAGAGCAGAGATCCAAAATTCTGAGTTACTTCGGGCCTTTGGTTCAGGAGAAGAAGCGCTCTGCCTACACCATCCTTGGAAGTGCAAAGAAGAAAGTCGACCTCTCAGCCCGAACAAAGATATGTCTTCCATTCTCAGTCAAAATCAAAATGCTCAGATGTGTCAAAGACAAAATCGGAGCTGGAGTTTACGTGGTGCTTGCAGAAATCATTGAGAGAATCGGAGGAGGCTCAGTCATGTATAATTACCAGAAATCTATGAAGAATCTTCACAAGCTCAAAGGCAAAATTCTTGAGTATGAAAAGCTCAAACTGAGATTCCTCAAAGAACAGAACATCGATGTCAGCACCCAAGAGTCTGAAGGAATCATGGCTGCACTCGAAGAAGCTGAAGAAGAACTCCACGAAGACGAACAAAGAGAACAAAGAAGCGCCCCAGCCAGCAGAAGCAGCCAGAGAAGCAAACAACAAGCTCCAGAAATTGACGAAGAAAAGTTCGAGAAACTCACATTCAAGCAGAGACACACCCGGTACAGGAACTTCTACGCAGGCTTTGACGACGAAGAGTTCTACTTGGATGAAAACCTGTATCTGTTGTATCCTCCGATGAACAGAGCTCGGCCTTCAAACTGAATCCAGTTCAGGCTGGTCAAACTCTCCGATGAAAAAGATATTGAAGATGAAGTCGTGGCCTGGGGAGTGTTCCCTCTGCTCAACTCCGAGCTTGCATTTAACGAAGGACGATTCAAGATCCCTCTGTTGTTCGGAGACGTTGACGAAGAAGTCACACTCTACAGAAACATCCAAGGGAGAGTCATGAAGAACCTTGACACTTGGCTTTGCAACATGTACTTTGAGGTGGAGCCCCTTCTGATCCAGAAACTCATCTTCGACTGGCAGAACAGAGAAATGTACTACGACAAAGAACAGCTCAACAAAATCCATGGCTACGTGCTTAAGCGAGAAGAAGATCCTGACCAAAATATGGCTCAGCCTAATGCTGTGAGAGAGTCGTTTGGAGGACAAAGCGCAAGATCTTCTAGACTCAAAAGGAAAAGATCTACCGTCAGAAATGCAACCAATCTCATCTCAAACTTGCATGATGCAGACCTTGACAGACAAAATTCAAATGTAAGACTGAGCAAAGACCAGACCAGAGAACTCGACCAAATGATAGGGTACGAAGCAGAAGAATTCAAGAAGGAACAGCAGCGTGAGATCAAGGCAGAGCTCGACGACAACGCTCTGTTCCTTGAAGAGTACTCGTACTCTGTGTCTGACAAGTTCAACAATGAAACCCGAAACGTGGCCAAGAAGAAAATGGTTTACCTGTTCACAGAGTCTTTGGCTGACATGGGGCTGAAGAACATGAACACAATTGCGTTCCAGATTACTTTGTTTGTGATTGTTCTATCGTTCTGGGCAAGAGTTTACATTCACTATTTTGGAGAATATCTAGCTTTATTAATGATTGGAATCAAAGTTTCAAAATTTAACCCAGAATGGTACAAGGTCGAACTCCACTATGAATCGTGGGAGTCATGGCATGAAGCAATCATTATTATTCTTGGAGTGCTCTTAAATACATTTTTCTTCTCTTTAATGATAATTTCTGCTTATTTTGTGAATAAGTACACTCAGTTCCCTCACATCTTTTATAAAATGATGTGCTGGTTTGGAATTGCGACTACAATAGACTTTTTGTTGATTCTAGCAGTAGACTGTATAGAGCAAAACTGGACAAGAGGTGATATGTTTAAGTTATACCAGTACTACAACAGAAGAGATGCGAATGGATATCCAGGTCTTGCCATAACGATCTTCATTTACGTCGTCCTTACTTTCATCAACCTCTCTCTAATGTACTATTATTTAATCTTCATTCATATGGGAGGAAGGGTTATTGATATCTATTTGAGATTATCAGGAAATGTAAACCATTTTTTTCTTCCTCACGATGATGAGATCTCTCTCACTTATCTGAAATGGGTCTGTAAAAAGGCATTTAAGAGTCAGAAACAAAGAGTCACAACTAGAGATGAAGAAGTTGTCAACGAAAGAGGTAAAATTAAGAAAGTTAGGTTCATCAATGTCTTTAAATTTGATCCAGAAACACACGAGTTATGCAATTATAGATCCTTTATTAGAGATTATGATGGGGCTATACGTGAATTCCATACTAAGAAGGTACCTCTAAAGAAGGAAGAGCTTAAGGGTATCACTGAAGATATCCCTCCTGAAAAAGGAACAGAAACATACAACCACAATGAATTCTTCCCCGAAAGAGAAGAATCTTCTGAAGGTGAAGGAGGTGATGGAGTTAACGGAAGTGATGAGGAAGAGAAGACCCCATTTAGCAGAAGAAACGTTGATAGTCATATGGAGCTAAGAGATCGAAGTAACCAAAGCAGATCATTTAATGATAATTCAAGAATGAGTGATGAGGATAGGAAGATAGACAACTCTCTGCATGATGAAGAAGAAGATGATGAAAGCAAAATCAAGCATCTATAATTTTCAATCGTCATGAATATTATAGGGGTTTTGGGGTTTTGGGGTTTTGGGGTTTTGGGGTTTTGGGGTTTTGGGG